TCCTTCTGCAAAGATCTTCACTGATGTTTCTTCACGTTGCCTCAAACAGAATCCTGGAAACGTGTCTGAACACATAGATTAATTCAGGGTGTTTCAGTGGCTGAACTTCATCAGAAGAACAGGTCCTAAGATCTGAAACCAGCTGCTGGAGCTGCATCAGAAGAGTTCACATTAAAACACAATGATTAAAACTGAAGCTGATGAAGCTGCAGAGAAACATTTGCATCAACAAAAAGGATCTTTTGAAATGAATTCAACTCAGTCTGGTTACAACAAATAATTCCAGTTATACGTCCACATCGTCACGACTTTAAGAAATAAATGTAGTCACAGACTCCACAGAACTTCAGTGTCCTCAGTAGTTCATTCACAGTACAGTCTGTGGATCAGCAGGACTCTATGTTCAGGGTTATGAGACTGAATAAATCAGAATCTCTGGTCCGTTTATCTACAACCTGCAGGAGTTTCACATGTTCGTCATTTCTCTGAGTGCAGTTTGGCCCTTAAAGGGTTTTGGGTTATTTGTTAAAATCTATTTAATGTGAACTGTTTCGTCATGTTGCTTAACATGTTTCTGACGTCATGTTCTGAAGCCACACGACGAACGCTGCAGAGCGATCCGACGCCGTTCTGCTAACAAACGTTTGTTTCTTTAGACAGTCTGTCAGAGCGTTTCTGACGTTTCTCTAAAATGTTTCAGTGAAACGTCGGCAGCAGTAAAACAATAAGCGTCAATGAAGCAGCAGAACAGTTCTACTGCTGGAGTCAGACCTCGAGTCTTCATTGTGTTGGTTTCTGCTCAGAGATTCTGTTCCTGAAGTGAAGAAGATTTTAAAAACAATAAAACGCAGACAGAAGGAAAGAAGAGTCAGACAACGGAAAACTGACTTCATTGCAGATCTTTAGGATTCATTAGGATTCATTAGAGCTTCCTGCAGTGCAGAGAGGAGCTGACTAGTTACAGCTGCTTCCTGATGACGCTCGAGCACAGAAACATCCTGAAGACACGTATGTTAGACATGTTAGACGTGTTTCTGTTTGAAAGCATCTGATTCACTTCATGTGGTGAAACTCTCAGATCATCAGAACATCGGAGGTTCCAACAGACCACATTCATGTGAATGACTGTTGATGTTAAAACATAAAGAGATCCAGTTCAGAACAAACATCAGAATAACTGCAGTCGTTCAGCTTCACGAGTCCCAACAGCGAAGGTCAGCAGACAGCAGCTGTGTGTGATGATGATGATGATGATGATGAAGATGACGATAATGATGATGATGATGATGATGATGATGATGAAGGTGACGATGATGATGATGACGATAATGATGATGACGATGATGACGATGATGATGATGATGACGTTGATGATGATGACGACGATGATGATGACGATGATGATGATGATGATGATGATGATGATAATAATGTGTGTGTGTGTGTGTGTGTTTCTGTCGGTGTGATGAAGGTTCACAGAAAGCGTCAGAACAAACCTTCAGACATAAACTTTCCTGTTTTATAGAATCATCAGTGTTTGTGTTTCTTCAATAAATAACAAATCGCACTGATGCAGTTTTAATTTTACTATTTGTAATATATGTAGTCGCCCCATCCAATCAGGAGTGTAGCTGTAGAGACCTGACCCCGCCCCCTTCAGGTGCCGCTGGGAAAACAGAGTGCTGGGCATCGACTCTGTCTCCACAGAGTGTTTAAAGTGTCTGTTGTTGTTGTGTTGATGATACCGTCGAGACACTCGATGCTGTTTTGTATCACAGCGTTGTTGTGCTGCTCTAGTGCTAAATAAATTATTTAAGTCTCAGTGGATCTCAGTGTTCTGACTCTTTATCTGAAGTCATGCTTCATCAAACTGCAGCTCGCTGTGTTCTGTGCCTGCAGTGACCCAAAAGAACCGGGTCTGAAGAACCAAAGACTGCTGCTCCTCGGTGATCTTACCCATAATATCCTCAGTTACTGTGTTCCCGCATATATTCGAAGTTTTCCCACACTGCTTTAGGGTTATGGTTAATGTACGCACCGTGGCCTCACAGCTTGAAGGTCGCCGGTTGGCGTCCTGGTGAGGACACCTGGGATCTTCCTGCGTGGAGTCTCCATGTTCTCCCCGTGCAGCGTGGGTTCTCTCCGGGTTCTCCGGCTTCCTCCCACAGTCCAGAAACATGCTGAGGTTAATTGGTGATTCTAAATTGTCCGTAGGTGTGAATGTGAGTGTGCTTGGTTGTCTGTCTCTAAGTGTAGCCCTGTGATAGACTGGTTACCTGTCCAGGTGAACCTGCCTCCACCCTGAGTCACACTCCACCCCTGATGCCCTGGTGAGGATTAAGGTGTATATGACAGATAAAGTGACATTACTGTGGACAGCTTCACTCTAAACCTGTTTCCAGCAGCTGTTGAACTCATGGTGCAGAATTGGGGGGAAAATAGACCTTTAACCTGGTATTTTGGTGGAACAACCCTTTAGCTCCAAATGGACCTATTGTTGCCCCCTGGCGGCAGAGCAGCGTAACTGCAGCTCTGATGGTAAGCAGAGTTTTCGTGAAGAAAATCTGTTGTTTTGATTTAAACGGTTTATCAGAAACGTTACCTGGACTTTATGACGTAAAACACGTCCAGCTTCACCGTTTTCAACTTTTAGACTGTCGCGCTGCAGAAACTTTAAAACATTTGCGCGTCTACAGTCCTTTTTACGGTAAAGAACGGGGACCTCATGGTGCATTCAGAAAGAATAAAACACTTGCTAAGCGGGATTTTCCCTTTCTTTATCGCTGCATACACTTGTCACGTGCCCTTCTTATATTTACGTTATTTACTTGAATTGTATTTTATACAACATTTTAGGCCTTAACCTTAATATTTTTCATTTATTCTCGGTGAACTCTGCTCTGACAGTTAAGAACAGTCAGTTGATCCTGACACATGAAGCGTTTCAGAAACAGAAATCAGTTTGTGTTTCTGCATCAGGCTTCAGATAAAGACAGAAACACGATTCATCCACTTGAATCCTTTTCTGTTTCACTCTGGTGGCTCATGAACGCCACAGCTTCACCTGTCCAGGTGATGCAGGTCCTAGTCTCTGTGTTCTGCCCATTCTCCTGCTGTGTTGCTGATTCACAGTAGAATGTAAAGAGAATTCTATATGTCCACGAAATGTTCTGAGTTTCCGAGGTCTCCTGAAAGCACCATGAAGTCCTTTACCGTAATAAGGTCTGCAGAGGCGCACTATGTTAGTTCAGCTGTGACCTCAGCGAACTGCGGATCTCTGCTCCTCCTCAGAGTTTCCACAAACCCTCCTCCTCCTCCTCCTCCTCCTCCTCTCCTCGGTGCACCATGGCGCTGCGCTCGGACCGTCTCTCTGTCTACGTGGCGCTCCAGGTTCTGGTTCTGTGGTCGATTCGCGTGTCTTCGGGCGGCAGCAGCGCCTCGGTCCAGTCCGTCCTGCAGCCCTACGACTTTCTGTACTACAGCGGGGTTCGGGCGTACTTCGGCGGGGACTGGATGAAGGCGGCGGAGCTGCTGGAGAGGTCCATCGGAACCAGAGAGGCTCTGCTCGGGGCGCGCAGCCGGTGTCACCGGGACTGTGGTTCCGCTGGGAGCCGCGCAGCGGAACATCTGGGTGAGTTTTCAGAACCGATCCAGTCACTGCGAGCAGGTTCTCTCTTCAACTGACCCAAACCGCAGAACAACAGAACTCTTCTGTACCGTCAGACTGAGGTTCTGCTGACTGTCTGAACCCATCCGGACTTCAGGTTCTTCCTTCTGGCTGCAGGTTCTGGTTCAGTCTTTAGGTTAAGCTTCAAGTTCTTTTGGACACATTTTTAACTCATTATTCTGCAGTTTGTACTGGAACTTCTGGACCTGAATGAGGCCAGAACATTCTCTTTAGTTTCAGGTTCTGCACATTTCTGTTTGTGGTTGAGTGTGTCTGAACAGAAACAGCTGCTGTAGAGAAAAAGGTTCCACAAGAAAGTTCTGCCAGAACACCAGAAGTTATTAGTTGGACTTCTGGTTCTGACAGGATTCACTGGTTCCTCAGAAGAACCTCTGACTTCTTCATCAGTTCACAAACACAAGTTTCAACCAAACGAACGGTTTCGGATCTGTGATCATCAGTGCTGGAACCAGATGTCCGCTCCGTTAACTTCTGGTTCTGTGGTTCGAAATGTGCTCAGAACCGTTTGTGTAGTTTGTAGATTTTAAACTTGTAGCGAATAAACAAGGTTCACGTCGTCATCGTCAGCAGCATGTTTCTGTCCTCAGACTCAGAGCAGAACCTCTGGATGTTGGACTGAGGTTCTGTAATGCTCTCATGTGTTTTCTCTGTCGTTAGATTCAGAACAGGACGGTCTGTGGGATCTCTGGATGTTGGACTCGGTGCAGCAGAAAGCCGAGTGTCTCCGGTTCTGCCTCGGACAATCCGTCGCTCCTGCAGCTCAACTTCCTGTTTCCACCGACATCGAGTATGAATTTGGGACTCGGAACCCATACAACTTCCTGCAGGTCACGTACTACAAGGTACTGAGAGTTCTGATCAGTTCTGATGTTCCTGTAGTCGTGTTCTGACTCTCTGACCTGAGATCTGCCGGTTCTGCATCTGTCAGCTGGAGAAGCTGCAGAAGGCGGCGGCGGCGGCTCATACCTACTTCGTGGCGAATCCGAGTCACCTGGAGATGAGAAACAACATCGAGAAATATCGTCGGATGGAAGGAGTGAGCGAGGACGACTTCCAGGACCGAGAGCTGGAGAACGAGAAGCACTGGGTGAGGAGCTGGTTCAGTTCTGATGGATCTAAGGTTCTGCTTTTATACCCTCACATCAGAATCAGTGTCAGTGAATTGTGGAAGTTGAAATGAAAATAAGGGGAATCAGGACAGTCGACACAGAGTTTGATCCTCGTTCTGGTTCTGATCTGATATGGGTCCGTAATATTTGTTAAAGTGACAGTTTACAGATTCCGTGTGAAACCTGCTGAACCGATCAGAACTCATCAGAACCTGATGAAGCTACATTAGCTTCAAGCTAAATCTCTGCTTTGGTTTCTTCTCACTGACGTTTCATGACAGCGGTCCGATCTCTGAGCTGCAGCTCTGCCGGCTGAAAACGCATCAAGAACCATAATCAGACATGATAACATTACATCCTGCAGTGAAGAACGCTTTAGTGAACCGGAACAAAGGATGATGGAAAACCAGATCAAACAGACCAAAAGTCCAAATCCAGCACTGAGGAAATAAAGAACCACAAACAAGAACCAAACTGACGTTTCCTCACGAGGCTGAGATGCAAAAAGGAGTCGACATGTTTAATTCTTAGTTTAACTTCCGTTTGTTGTTCAGATTTTCACTCGTTTATATTCAGTGTTAATTCACAGCGTGGCAGATCGTTGTCCTTTCATTTAACACACAGACACAGAGAGACCTGGTCCGACTGATCAATATGATGTTAATCCATCATGTACGGAGCCATGAACACATGTTTGTCCATTAGGATCCTTCTGATCAGCCGCCTCTGATCTGCTCTATACTTCTTTCATCATAAATTCTGGATATTTAAAATATCTGTGAAAGTTTTGCTCAATACATCAGATACTTTCTGAGACCAGTTTTTTAAAATGTCCTGTTGACCAACTTCTAGCAGGTTTAGTCTCGTTAAATCTGAGTCTGTTTGAACAACAACATCTGGGGAACTATTGAAAATATTCTCTGTTGTTTCTGGAGCTTTAACAGTTCCTGAGTTATTGTTGTTCAAACAGCCTTGATCTGAAAGATTTGTTTATCTTACAAAATATTTGGCCTGTCAATCCAAAATGTCTTTCAGAATATTTCAGACAAACCAGAGACGATGGAGCAGAACTTGTTGTAACATCTGCTGAAGGGTTAAGGATAGGGTTAGTCCTCTAGACTCGTGGTTGGGGTTAGTCCTCTAGACTCGTGGTTGGGGTTAGTCCTCTAGACTCGTGGTTGGGGTTAGTCCTCTAGACGCGTGGTTGGGGTTAGTCTTCTAGACTCGTGGTATAAACGTGGACCTCCCTCCAGATGAATCGCTGATTTCAACATTAAACAACTTAACCTGGGACTGCTGAAGCTTATCGGGAATCCAGATGTTTGGATTGTTGGGTGTCTCTGTCTTTGTGAAGAGCTATGAGATGACTTGTTGTTGTAAATATGCGCTATACAAATAAAATTGAATTGAAGTGAATTGAATTGAACCTGCTGCTGTTTACTGCAGTTCATGACTGAACGTAGTTCAGATGATGTTCGGTTCTGTTGAGTCAGCAGGAGGTTCAGACAGAACCTTCTTCTGTACAGAGACTCTGTGAGCACCCTGAGGCCTGAATTCCTTGTTGTTGCCTTCACTGTCTGTTCGATACGTTTCTAAAGCCCCAACGGGGCTGAAATGATGCATTTATTGTATCCGCTGGTGTTCTGACCCGAACTCCTTCACCTCTGTACCTGTTCTCTTCCTGATCAGGTGCTGTACGATGCGGCGCTGCAGCACGAGGCCTCCTCTGATTGGCTGCAGGCTGCACTCACCTGGTCGGCCTGTGTGTCTGAGACCCTGCGGCAGATGGAGGCGTGTCGGCTGCAGTGCGACGTCGAGCCTCAGCGGCTGCCGGAGGACCGAGGCATTGACGGCGTGGACGGCGTGTTTGAAAAGGCTGCAGGTGAGAAGAGCAGCAGAGTCTGTGTTGGACCGAGTGGACCTGAGCTGACTGTTCTCTGTGTGCAGCTCTGTCGCTGTCGCTGCTGGCCTGCCGGCAGTCCTGCACCTCTCAGGTCGCCACCAGACCTGGAAGGATTTCTGCTCAGGAGGACTTCCTGCCCACGCAGCTGGACCATCTGCACATCGCTCAGTTTAAAGGTCCGAACATCATTAACCGTCTGATCAGCTGGACTTAACTTTAACCGACAGTCCATGAACGTATCATTGGACGTGATTCTGTCAGAAATGTTGAGCAGACATACGCTTACAACTGTGACATTTCATCAGGATCACTTTATTTTGCGTCTCATTCAAAAATCTAAATTTTAATTCAGTCAATTCGAAAAATAAATGTTAGCAGCAGATTCTGTAAAAACAAGTGACTCTGCAGCCAGTTGTTGGAGATACATCCAGCACAGTGGAACACCAGAGAGGAGACGTCTGGAGACATGGAGATGGTTCAACATCTGCAGGACGAGGAGGCACTGTTTCAAATGGAAGAATGAAATAAATCATTTTAGGCTCAGATGTGGTTGATTGTCCTGAATCCCACGTCAACGTTTGTGGCTGATAAACGGTTTGATCACAGAGAGTAAAGTCAAACTCAAACTAGTTCAACTCCAGCGTCGGTAACCTTGGAAACGTTGGACACAATGAATACAGATTATTTTTCCATTTTAGTAAAATAATTAATCAAAGAAATGTAACTTTCTGTCGTTCTGAGTCCTGCTTACAGCAGACGTCTCTGAGTTCTGTCTCCTCCTTCATGTTCTGGTTCCTCAGAGCTGCAGAGGAACATGAACCTCAGTGAAGGACCAGGAGCCAGAAGGAGTTCAGGAAGTTGAGCTGATTGTAGCATTGTGTTGTCGTGTGTTCACGGTTCCTCTCCTCATGTTCTCCAACAGCTGGTGATGTCCGAGCTGCTCTGCAGACGCTTCGCTCGCTGCTACTCTTTTATCCTTCTGATAAAGATTCTTTAGAGAACCTGCAACTCTACGCTGAGACTCTGGGGGGCGACACTGAGTCGCAGGACACACAACCTGCCCAGGTAGCCATCACACAGCAAACAACAAGCCTGTGGCCCCGACTTGGCTCAAATAAAAGGTTCTGCAGGAACAGAGTGAGGCTTGGAGCCGTCAGAGGCTCCTGATTCGTTCCTCAGTCATTTGTGATCGCTGTAGAGCACCGTGTGAAAACAAAGTTACGATAGAACCCGTCACATCTGACTGCAACCAACAAAAGATGAAATGTTCGGTTTATATAAACACATGTGTGTGTATATTTCTGTAAGTACACATAGCAGGTGTCTGAATGCAGCAGATCAGCTGCTTCTCACTGTCTCGTGTTCACCAGCAGCTGAAAGTCTGTTACAATGAAGGACGGTTCTGACTCTGAGGTTCTGAGCCGGTGGTTCTGTTGGCAGGAGATCATCATGCTGGTCCGTGGATCTCTGCAGGAGAAGAAGCTGCTGTTCTTTGGTGCGGAGAACCTCGGCTTCACCTTCACTGACCCGGTAGGTTCTGATGTTCTGCTGCTTCTAAACCGGAACTGCTTCAAGTCACAGCTCTGAATGAACCCAAGTTTGTTCTTTTCAGGATCTCTGGACTCCAGAGGAGGTGGTTCCCCCAAACATGAGGGACGAGTGGAGGTCTGGAGGACTGGAGAGCACACACACACACACACACACACACACACACACACACACACACACACACACACAGAGAGAAACACACACACAACCACACACACACAAACAGAGAAACAGACACACACACACACACACACACACCGTCAGACCGACGTGCACAGCGAGTGAGTCGACCTGATGGAAGCTCCTCATTGTGTTTCAGAGCCGATAGACTGAAGATGAGTGAGAAGATGAAGGAGGTTCAGTCGGAGGAGGAAGTGGACGACAGCGGATTCTTCTCAGGTGTCAAACATCAGCAGATATCAACTAACCATCAGTCACACTAAAATATCCTTACGACACCGTTACATGTCCTCATGACACATAGCATCATGTGTCAGGTGACATGACATCATGATGCAGTGTTGTCCTGGGTTGAAGGTAGCCTGACAGCTCTGTCTGGAGGTCATGAACCTCCTCAGAGTCTCTGTCATGGTCCCGTTGCTGCTAAACTCCCACAATGCTCTCTGCTGCCACCATGACTGTAGTCTGTAGACGCCTCCTCTGGTCTCTACAGTATTAAACAGTGAGTGGCTCCACCTGGTGGAACAACCAGGTACTACAGCTGGTCTATGGTGCATCTTCGAACATGCAGGACCTTCTTCTTCTGCCTTATTGGTTAATACATTTATAATCAATTAAATTTTGACAATCAATCAGTTAATCATTAATCATTACTGCCCATAGTTTCCACAGTAGAAGTTGAGAGTTTATTGCATCTCATTGCGTCTCATCTGTTCCCTCTGCAGGTGGTCCAATCCGTCAGGTGGGCGTCACCATCACAATGGATGACGAGGTTCTGAATGGGACCAATCGGGTCGTTCTGGACGGCGTGATGACAGAGAAGGAGTGTGACAGAATCCTGCAGCTGGCAGCAGTGAGTTCTCATGTCAGTAGCTTCAGCCTTCTGTGTTCCAGAACTCTGTCTGACCCGTCAGAAAGGACCACTCGGGTCCTACAGTACACCTCAGGGATGGAGGAGCTGCTGGAGGAGCTCTGAGGTTAATCCTGGAAGTTTTTTCAGCTGTGACATTAGAGAGGAGACACAGCCTAACTATAGGAACCACAGCAGAACCGCTGAACATGATGAACAGCTCAACCCCAATATAGGCCACCATTTAATTGTGTAGTTCTCACAAATAAGGAGTCCATCACGACTCTGTTATACTTCACCTCGTGTGTTAAATAAATATAAGAATGAAGGACATCTGTGTGTTCATCACATTGTGAACTTTGTAAATTGAACTAACAATAAATATCAGTTATCATGAACACTGACAGAGATCATTAAACACAGCTCCAGGTTCTAATGAAACCAAGACCAGGTGATTGCAGCTGCGTCATATTTACCTGACGTCACTTTAAACCGACGTTTTGTTCTGTTAAATACCTGCTTCCTTGACTCCTCCGCTTCAATCTCAGGTGGGAGGAAGTTGGACAGGAGGAGAGTCGAGGAGGAATCAAAGATGTACAAACTAAAAAGAGATGAAGGTTTTTTTAAACGCTCAGAAACACTCTGAGCTACTGTTTCTCGTCGTCTGCAGGTGGCGGCGTCCGTTGGCGACGGTTACCGCGGGCGACGGTCTCCACACACACCTCATGAGACGTTTGAAGGCCTGACGGTTCTGAGGGCGGTGAAGGTGAGTGAACAGACTTCAGGTGTTCTACCTGCTGAGGAAGCAGCTGCTGACCTGCTGTGTCTCAGCTCGCTCAGGACGGACTCGTGAACCAATCAGATGCTCGGCTGCTGCATGAGCTTGGAGAGCGAGTCCGAGTTCTGCTGCACTCGTACTTCAGGAGCCCGACCGGACTCTTCATCTCCTTCACACACCTGGTCTGTCGCAGCGCCATCGCAGGTAACATCACCCAGACCTTACCTATCCAACCTACCCGTCTTACCAAATCAGGAAAAAAAAAATGTTAAAAGAGATCAAAGATTAAAAAAGAAAAACTGAAAAATCACATGACCACAAGTGTTCAGACTCTTTGCTGTGACACGTATATTTAACTCAGGTGCTGTCCATTTCTTCTGATCATCCGTGAGGTGGTTCTACACCTTCACTGGAGTCCAGCTGTGTTTAATTCTACTGATTGGACTTGATTAGGAAAGGTGCACACCTGTCTATGTAAGACCTTACAGCTCACAGTGCATGTCACAGCAAATGAGAATCATGAGGTTGAATGTAGTCATGACTCCATGGCCTCTCATTTATCATAAATACACTATTATGTTACAAGCACTCTCGAAGAGCCACACACATATATGTACAAGCAAGGCCTAATTTCTGTTGTAGTGACTCGTTGCTTTTTCTTATTAAAATGAGATTAAATGGTAAAATTAATTTCACCTTTATATATATATATATATCTGTTTCATTTGTAAATTCAGTCCAAAAAACATGTTCTTCATCAGTTTAAACCTCTAAATGCACCTAAAGTTTTATATTTCACCCTCCATTTAGGAGAAACGGCTATTTTGAAGAAAAAACTACAACTTCCAGTGGCGTTACAATACAACATGATTGGACACGCCATGAAATATGTAGTTCTTCTTGGGGTTTACAACTAGGCCTGTGTTTTTGTATTAATAAACTAAAATAAACGGATTGAAGTCCTGACCAATGTGCTACTGTTAAAGCATAATACGTGTAGTATGAAATACGTGTAACAGAGTACATCGTATTGTGGTATTTTTTGTGTTTTTATCACACCAGCAGTGTTTGGGGGAAACTTGCGCTTGTTGCTAAGGCAACCCTGTTAGCGTCGGAGCGCAGCCTCGCCATGGACCCGACAGAGATCTGTCCTATAGGATCTGTAATGTGTTTGTGTGTACAGTAGGTGGCAGTGATGCACCTGAACGTAGGAAGAAGCAGCAGCAGCAGCAGCAGCTAGGCTAGGCTAGGCTAGGCTAGTAGCTAATGCAGCCAGCCTTGACGAGCTAGCTAAAAGCTGCACAAAGCTGCAGGTACATTCCCCACCGCTGGCCTCTCAGTTCCAACAGTCAGATTATCCATGGCTGTGATCACAGAACATGTTCCGGTCCGTTTCCCTGCATGTGTCCTTCTGTTCAGAGTTGTATTTGTTTACAGAGAAATGAACGTAACGACGAGCATGTAGCCCAAACACAGCAAAAGCATCGATATTTGATCACAAATAAACGATAATAGCTCTGAACGATATGGTTCGATCACTGTCAGAGCGACCTCAGAGCAGCTTCTCTCTGCCTGGATATGTTTCTTGTCTTTTCTATTAATGAATACGGAGCTTACAGCAGCTGGAGCACACGGTACCGGGTCAGCGCCGGTGTTTCCAGAATGTTAGTGTTGGTCAGTGTGGGCCACACATCTGTACAGTGACCTCTGTAGTTATTAGTGTGGACGGGCCAGAAGAGGAGAACTGGTGAATGCTGATGTGGGAAGAAAAGAACGACTAAAACATCCCAGCATATGTCTGATGGGAAAACGTGTCCCAGACATGAAAGACAGTACATCCCTAAGCTGAGGTTCGGTCCACTGTCCTGATGGGACCACGTGTTATACGGGACACAATAAAGGATCCAAGGAGTCTCTTGGTTCTGTTCCTTGTTGATTAATTGTGTCATTTTGTTAATTTTAACGCAAAAAAAAGATACCATGACTTTGAAACCCTGCAGCAGGTTGTGTTTTTCTGAATGAAGCAGAAGGTCTGACTGTCACGCAGGTGACCAGGAGGGCCGGCTGGACCTGTCTCATCCCGTCCATGTCGACAACTGTCTGCTGGAGCCGGAGACCAAGCGGTGCTGGAGGGAACCACCAGCCTTCATCCACAGAGACCTCAGGTGCATAAATCAGCTCAACTCAGTGATGAAGTCATCTTTTTCATGAATCTTTCTGGAGGATGCTCTCAGCCTGATGTCTGGTTATTACAGGAAACCTCCTTGTTCTGGTGAATATTCTGTATTTGTAGTAAAGTTTCCTCCTCAGACAGCAGCAGAGAAACAGAATCACTCCTGTTGTTCTTCTTCAGCAGCACATTAAAACCGCATCAGTGGTTTGAGCTCAGGTTTGTTCAGGATTCTGTGAAGGTGTTTCTGTGTGTCTCAGTGCCATCCTCTACCTGAACGACAACTTTGATGGAGGCGAGTTGTTCTTCACCAACAGAGATGCAGAGACAGTCACAGTGAGTCTGTTTCTGGATTTCTCTCCCAGACTGTCGTGTTGGGAGTTTTCTGATCTGTGTCGTCTCTGACTGCAGGCCCGAGTGAAGCCCAGCTGTGGGCGGCTGGCCGGGTTCTCCTCCGGTCCGGTGAACCCTCACGGAGTGACGGCGGTGACCCGAGGCCGGCGCTGCTCGCTGGCTCTGTGGTTCACCAAGGAGAAGCTGTACAGAGACATGGTGAGGGTCATGTGATCTGCTCGGGTCTGCTGGTTGTTGATGTCATGAAGAGACCAGCTGCAGCTCGATGCAAATCCTGCGTCGATTTGCATCTTTGTCAGCGGCTGCATCACGTCACTGCAGCTTCATCACATTCATCACTCAGCCTGTGACCCAAAGACAGCATGTAATATGAATTTATACAGTCAGTCACTTTGTCCTCAGCTGTTTTTCACTCCTGTTTCATGTTTCTGTGGAACCAGAACCACATGAAGGAGGAGAGAGAACTCAGAGACGTCTGCTGTCAGCAGGACTCAAGATCAGTTTATTCCATTATTGAACAAAACATGGCTGCTCTGAGGAAACGCTGCCTGCAGCTCACCTGAGAGCTTCGTCCGTGTTGGTCACAGCCGAGCCGGTCGTGGAGGATTGTTTTGTTTTATAGACTCTCATCAGAGCGAAGGTGTTATTTTGGGAGAATTTTTACCTGAAACATGCAAAATAATGTGATTTTGATCAAATATGATGCTTTTAAGCACAAGATGATTAGATCACTGCAGGTGTCTCAGTGGTTAGCATCGTGGCCTCACAGCTAGAAGGTCGCCGGTTGGCGTCCCGGTGGGGGCACCCGGGATCTTCCTGCGTGGAGTCTCCATGTTCTCCCCGTGCAGCGTGGGTTCTCTCCGGGTTCTCCGGCTTCCTCCCACAGTCCACAAACATGCTGAGGTTAATTGGTGATTGTAAATTGTCCGTAGGTGTGAATGTGAGTGTGCTTGGTTGTCTGTCTCTAAGTGTAGCCCTGTGATAGACTGGTTACCTGTCCAGGTGAACCTGCCTTCACCCTGAGTCAGCTGGGATAGGCTCCGCCCCCCCGTGACCCTGGTGAGGATTAAGGTGTAGATAACGGATGGATGATTAGATCACAGACCGCATGTTGATAAAAATCTGATTCTTTGTGTTCTTCCAGTTTAGGGCTGATAGATAGTGATTCGGGGGTTTTCAGACCTGGCGGCACATGTTTGGGTCCGAGGGTTCATGGAGGATAATAATAATAATAATAATAATAATAAACTGTATTTATATAGCACTTTTCAAAACAAGGCTACAAAGTGCTGCACAGATTCAGAGAGAAGTGTAAGAATGACATTAAACAACATTATAGGAAGTGAAAAGCAAAAAATACACAAATAAATAAATAAATAAATAATGGTGAAGGTGAAGCACATAAAGCATGAAAGACAATAAAACAATATAAAAATATATAAGAAAAATAAAACCCAGTAAAAGAAGACAATTAAAAGACAATAAAGGAATAAAACAGAAGATAAAATGTTCTGCCCTTCATACCGCCACCAAACGGAGCAAAAGTCCGCTCATAGAACAGCTCCTGTAAAAGCACGTCTGTAAAGATGTCTTGTTAAAAGAGTTTAAAGGAGGATGAAGTGCTGCAGATCTGATCTCCTCAGGGAGGCTGGTCCAGAGGGTGGGGTTCTGACAGAACAGGCCCGGTCACCTTTGGTCCTCAGCCTCCAATGTGGGACGGTGAGCAGAGCCTCGGCTGAGGATGATGGACGTGAGAAAAACAAAACGAAGAATGTCAGAATATTGGGTTAGGACAGGAGTGACTCCAGACGTGGCCTCAGAGATGAAAGTTGTTCTGTGTTTCAGGAGCGAGAGGAGGCCGAGGCTCTGTGGGCCGCCGACGGACAGACGGTGGCCAAGAAGGACGAGGACGAGTCGGAGGGCGGAGCCACTGGACGAAACGCTCGCAGCCAAGCGGCGCCAGAGAGGAACCGAGGACGAGGAAGAGTGACGGGAGGCAGAGACGAACTCTGAAGGCCTCCGAGAAGGAGACAGACTGAAGCTCGGTTCATTTCCAGACACGACATGGTCACTGCAGGAAGTGACCGTCAGCTGTGTGCAGGCTGCTGGTATCTGGACAGACGGTGTTTATTCTGTATATGATGGATCCTCACCCTCTGAAGTCTGGACTGACACAAAGGTTACCACACTGTGGATTATTTTCTGAATGAATCAATGAGATGTTTGATCTATAAATGTCTTTAAATGGTGAAAAAAGTGGATCAGAGTTTCCTCAACTGTCTCACTTAGTCCAGAGATGTTCAGTTTACTGTCACAGAGGAAAGAACCCAAAACACATTCAGACTGAAGGAGCTGCAACCACTTAAACAGTTTTTAAAAAAACTAAAAACCACTTAATCCATCCATCATCTCTACACCTT